GTCGCAATTACCTTTTTTATTTTCCATTCTGTGATGGAAACAAGCTTCCATAGATCTGAGATGACCAGTGACCACAAAAATATTAAGCCACACAACTGTTTTCAACATTGATGATAATAAGAATTGAATTTTGAGCAGAATACAAACACTTATTCCCACCCCCCACAATGCATTTTCATAAAAGTTACCTTAATAGATGCTCCAGCAAAACGGCTTAGCTGCTTGATATGCTGTCCCTTCTTGCCAATAAGGGCTCCCACGGCTTGGGCTGGGATGTACACGTGGACGGTCTCCTGTTCAGTGGCCTGTAGGGAGACACAAAACAAGTAACTATCACATCGCAACATATGGTGAACTGAACACCCCCTATAAAGAATTGTGCTTACAGACCATAATAAAAGTAAAGATGCCACAAGAGGCCTAGTAAAGCCTAGTTCACACTACATGATTTTAAAACGTCGGGCTGAACTGTGCTGTTCACACTACATGACTTGCTCTCAGTGAAATCAGGAGTGTTCAAGTTGTTGAGCTGTTCACACCACACAACACAACGTGATTGATCCACAACAGGAGGTCACTCACGACACAAGTTGACAACGCACTACATAGAGATACAACCACGATCGGATGATAAGAGCAAATCATTTTTGACTCTAATGAGAGCTGTTTCAGTAATATGGTACGGTCTAAATCATGAAAATAATCAAAGAAATAACAAGTTGACAACAACTCTGTCACCCAACGATTCTATCTTGTCTACAAACCACGTTTTGTCATGAAAAACCAGCAATAAAACGAACCAGAAATGACGCGAAACAGCACGTGCGAAGAAGAGAACACAACACACAAATATGGACGTCAGACAGAAACACTGTTGCACACTGTTTGAGCAACGATCTGCTCTGAGAAAAAAATGCAAAAATGCTGGTGACATCACTGAGATAGCAGGCTAGATATTTTTCTGGGCTCGGCGACGCGTCTGCGAGTATTTTCGCTGCGTTATTGGCTCTTTCATACTAACAGATTGGCAAGCGTTCATCGCCCGCTAATCCCCCGCAATTTGCACGCGATAACACCCTGACCTGTCGGCGAGCTCAACGATTTGCAAATCGGGCATAAATCGGGCTTGAAATCCTGTAGTGTGAACTTTATGTGACACCAGTATCTATGATTTTTAAAACTAAGTAATGAATAATGAGAAAATTGGTCATACCCCCATAGGGCCATAGGGAGGACCAGGCACAGAGTTTCCGAGGGAAGGGGGCGGCATGGCAGAGGACGGCGGGAAGAGGCCAATGGCTCCCAGGTTTAGTCCAGGGATCAGGTGAGTCTGTTGCTGGATGAAAAGGCAATGTAGATTCAGATTAGGCTTCAAATTAATGTTTCGTGGCCAAGTAAGTTACACTTACAAAGAAATACAGTTTTTTTTATCTTACGAAAACTCACATTCATTGCAGCGATGTCATTGTCATATGCCTCTCGCACTTTCTTCATGATCTCCTGTTCTGCCAGGCAGCAGGCTTCGATCGAGCCCTTCACTGTAATGGTCCTCTCTGGGTTATAAAGGGTCAGATCCTGCAGTCTGCAGTGAGAGACATTCAATATATAAATGCTACCAATCGTGTTAAAGCAGCTCAGTACAAAATAAGGCCGCTGGTTGGTTCCTTTTCATTATTTTTATTGTGTCCTTTCATAGCTTACGGTGAAATTGTGATCTTGGTATCAGTGTCTTGTTCCACTTTCTTCAGGTTGCGTCCCTCTTTGCCGATCAAACGGCCAACAAAGTTGTTGTGAGCAAGAACCTTCAGAGGCACCTCATCAGCACTACCAGAAACGAATTAAGATTGTTAATAAAGATCTGAGAGCAGACATGAACAAACACTGACAACTATGGGTTTTGAGGAAAATTAGACATTTTAAAATACTGTAAATGTTTTTATATGTCTAGATGTGGTGTTTTTAATATGCTTGAAGACAAACCATGTGTAAATTCATAAGTAAACACCATTGCTGAGTATTTTCTCTTTAAAACTATGATCTAAAGGCGCGGTTTGACATCGCTGGTGTTTCTGACGTCACAGACTAATTTGTAACCAAACACATCAACATATGGGTGGGCTTTAGCATATCATTAACTATGACCACTCTGAAGCTGGGGAGTCTCAAGAAGCCAGATTATCATGGTATATTTTTTCTGTTGATATGAATCTAATATGAGTATAAATTGGGTACATTTAGCAATATAGCGAGTCTGTTATGTATATGATGTAACAATGTTATGATGGCTTTCTCCACTGACATTCTGAGTTGTTCTAAGCATTTCTACGGATGCTGATTGGTTGAAGGCAGCTGCCTGACTCTGAGATGGGGAACGGATGCATGGTTTGTGTAACATTAGTTACAAAACATTATTAGCTGTTTGATAACACAGTCAAGCAAGTCTAATAGTATTATTTAGTGTTATTTGTCCAACGTTGTTAAAAACGCTTTATCATTCTGATACATCGAGTGGAGGCAGGGCTCATTTGCATGTTCATTGATTAACATATACTAAATAAAGCAAGGGTGTAGTAGTCATATTCAAGCTATTTTAAGGCATGGATTTTCGGTTTTCTCTGGAAAAAAACATTTAAATGTGTAATTTTAGTGATCAAAAAGATGAGTTTTAAGGGATAAAATTATTGACCACATGGGGGAACATAAATGTTTTTGAAAGTCTATTATGCTCACCATTTATTTGATCAAAAGTACAGTGAAAACAGTAATTTGGTGAAATATTACAATTTAAAATAACTAAAAAAAAAAAAGTAATTTATTCCTCTTAAGGCAATGCTGTTTTCTCCAGCATCATGTCTCCAGTCTTCGGTGTCACATGATACTTCAGAAATCATTCTAATATGATGATTTGCTGATCAAGAAACATCCATATTATCAATGTTAAAAAGAGTTGTGCTGTTTAACATTTTTCAGGGTTCTTTGATGAATAGAAAGTTCAAAAGAACAGCATTTATTTGAAAAATAAATATTTTGTAGCAATATATAAAGGTCTTTACAGTCAGTTGTAATCAGTTAATTTTTATTTGAATTAAGACCCCAAACTTGTGAAAGGTAGTGTATATTGTACTTGCAATGAAAGGTGTAAGGAATCACTGTTCTGGACTTGACTAAGTGTGTAAACCGATCATTCATCACTCACGTTTTGGTGTCCTTGGCCTCCTGGTTCATGATTTCCAGGATCATGCGGCAGGCAGATGAACAGCCCTCTGGGGTAGAATGGATACTTATGGGCTTTTCTGCGGCACCTGCGTTCTCTTTACGATGCACATCAATCCTAAGAGATGAGAGGAGAAGAGAGGGATGTGTTGTAAATGTTACGCATCAAACAGTGAATAAAACCTACAAAAGGCACAAGCAAAAACAAAACACATCTTAAAAATCACACAGGTTTGGAGCGCCATGAGTGAACTCTTCTTTTAAATTAAATTAGTGTCTGTTCCATTCCATTAAACATTTACCATAAAATCACACTTCGAGTCAATCACTCACTTGCTCTGCGTTTGCTTGGTGATGTTACGGATGGTGGCGCCCTCCTTGCCAATGATGGCACCCACGTATTGCGTGGGAACCAGAAGCCTGAGAGGGATGTCAGCGTGCTGATGTTTGGAGGGGATTCCTGAACCAGGGGACATCTGGCGGTTTCCTCGTGGACCGTATCCAGGGCGACGGCCATTGTCTGGGCCACGTTGAGAGTCGACCTCAGAGTTCTCGTCGGGGATGTATGACACACGCAGGGCGTTGTTCTCAAATTGGTAACCGTTGAGCTTCTGAATAGCTCTTTGGGAAGAAATACATAAATAACATGCATGAATGCAGGGTTTGTAGTAACGGACAGTCTTTTTGGAGAAAATGTCACTGTGGTGTGGATGAATGCTAACTGATTTAATGCACAGAGATTAAAACATATGGATAATTCAGAGTTAAAGGTTAAGAAACATCATGAATTGATCCGATGAAGAATCCAGTCTGACACATCTCATATTTAGCCAGTAGGTGTCACCCTCAAACAACAAAATCTCTCAATGAGAATGCGTGTGGTGGTTTAAGTAGATATTAAACAAACACAAGTCATTTATAAAGCTTAAATCAGAAACTTCTGTGCTAAAACACTTTTTTATCCCATCTTAAAATGCAAAAAGTCATTTGTCAAATATTTTTTGGGGGTGTTCTAAAAATTGAAAACAGTGGTGCTTTCAAAACACTGAAAATCCACACCAACCCAGCACAGTGACATTCTCTCAACCAATGGTGTGATTTGGGGGAGGGGCTATCTGTTTGACCAATGGAAGACAGGGAAATCTATTTGGTGACACTAGTGGAAAAATTAAACACTTGCTTTAAATTAAGGTTGCAGGGCAAAGTACACTCACTGTCTAGCATGCTCCCGTGTCCCATATGTGACGTTCACAACTGCAGTCTCACTCTCTGTATTCACTATGGGGAAAAATAGGAACAGAAAGAGAAGCAGAGTGAAAACTACTTACTGATACTGTAAAATAATCACTAACATGTTCAAGTGTTCATTATGAATTAGTCTGTCAGTAATTTCCTTCAATGTCCATTCAAAACAAATGACTCTCCAGGTATTATTTTACCTTGTTCACAGTTCTCTACAGTTCCATACTGGGCAAGCAGACCATCAAGAACCTGCAATGGATAAAAAAGGATGAAATGAACACAAGGAAAAATTACTGTATTTTTGTCTTGTTTTACAGTAAAAAAAAAAAAAGACATTTATTTTGGAAGCAAAACTACTTGATACATTTTTCAGAAAAGAAGCCCCGAGATGTTCAGTGAGTTTATGCTTAAAACAAGAAAAACTATCGGTCAATGAGATAAGAAAAATAATTCAATTATTTTGTGCACATTTTTCCTTCTCAAGTAAATGTATCTTGATTTAAAAAAATAGATATTTGTAATGGTTTTCAGGAAGGCTCCAACTGTTTGGTTTCACAAAAGAAATAGAGACTCAAATTACTTACATCAGCAGTTTTCTCCCAGTGTATAATTTGTTTAATGAAGCTACACTCTTAAAAACAAAAGGTCATTTAATGACATCTGGTGACATGAAGAACAATTGAAAAAGTTCTTTAGATTATTAAAAGAAAAAAATTATTCTTTTAAGAACTGTTCTTTGACAGTTTGTTTGGGGAATCAAAATAGGTTCTTCTATGGTATCTCTATGGAAACCCCCTTTTGTAGCCTATAATTTTAATGAGTGTAGCCAAGAGGACAAGTCATCTGTAGTTTAAAACGTTTTTAAACTATCAGGACCTCCCAGAATTCTCAGACTCATATCAAAACTTGTCTCATCCCAAACGAAAATAATCAGGTATGTGATTCTGTGTATGATAATAACAGGCTTAAGTTCCATACAGAACTTAATATCTGTCAAACAGGACTACACCAAACCCAATTGGCATCAGATTGTTTTTTGCCACCGGGGTTTAGCCTCCTAGTGGCTGACATTGGCACAAGTGGCTGGCAGAAGTGGGGCTTGCTGGAGACGTGCCAAGAAAGACCCCGCCCCGCAAGAACAACAGTCAGGCAGTACAACAACCATGGATAAAACACGCACTGTGCCACACCCACACTCTGTATGTTGATGGTGTAATCTCATAATCACGCGCAGATCACCTAACCTGAATGACATGGGTAAAACTCTGAGTTTAAACCAACACAGGGCACTGCCCTTGCCAGAACATGTAAAGGAAAAGTTCAAATGTCACTATTCAGAGTCAGAAATTTGCACCAAAGTGACAGAATTGCACAGATGATATAATTATTAAGATGCAGTTTTGTCCACATGGGTGTTAGAACATTTACATTTAAATAAAAGGCTGTTTCAGGTTTCATTTTGGAAGAGGCTGAAAAAATTGTTGATATCGAAACAATTTCACGTAATCCAACAGAATGTGCAGAGACAGCGACTTTCTTGTTTTAAGCATAAGCTCACTTAATTTGACATTATTCCTTTTTTGCAGAAAACAAAACTGAACATCTTAAGTCATTTACCTTATCAAGTAAATGTACAAAATCTTAAAATGCATTCTCGTATTCTGGCAGTATATGCAGACAGGTTTAAAGGTAGTTCACTTTAAAAAAAAAAAAATTTGATGATAATTTACTCATCCCCATGTCATCCAAGGTTAAGGTTTTTGATGAAAACATTCCAGGATTTTCTCCACATAATGCACTTTACTGGTAACCAAACGGTTCAAGGTCCAAAAGACAGTTTCAGTGCAAACTGTTTAAAGGGCTTTAAACGATCTCTTACAATGAATAAGGGTCTTATCAAGTGAAACGATCAATCATTAAAAAAACACAACGTTTAAGTTTTATAAGCTCAAATGCTCGCCTTGCTCTGTTCTGTGATACGCATCCGTGACTCTCCTGTTCAAACTCGTTTATCAAAATGAACGAATCTTTTTTCCATGTCATTTGGTTCATTCAACGAACGAAATGAACGAATTGACTTGGGAAAATATTAGTTCATTTTGATGAACGAGTTCAAACGGGAGTCTCACACAGAACAGAGCAAGGCGACCATTTGAGCTTATAAAACTTAAGCTTTGTTTTTTTTTAAATGAGCGATCGTTTCACTTGATAAGACCCTTATTCATCTTTTGGAATCGTTTAAAGCCCTTTGAACAGTTTGCAGTTTGCACTGAAACTGTCTTTTGGACCTTGATTTGGTTCCCATTAAAGTGCATTATATGGTGAAAAAATCCTGGAATGTTTTCATCAAAAACCTTAATTTCTTTTCGACTGAAGAAAGAAAGACATGGACATCTTGGATAACATGGGGGTGAGTAAATTATCAGCAAAAGTTTTTTAAAAAGTGAACAACTCCTTTAAGTAAGCCATTTGTAGCTTAATTTTCCACAAATCTCTGAAAACTTTTTGGTAACTCAGTAAAAACCTCAGATTAAAAGTAGTCTCAGACTAAATTAACAGTCATGTATTTTGTGTATGATATTGATAACAGGACTAATTTCATTATATAAAACAAAATTCCCTCACATTTTACAACCCAGTTGGCATTGATTTGTTTGAGCATCCCAACCAGCACAAAACGGCATAATTGGTTTGTGGTGAGATTATGTTTGTCTGACCAATGTAAAATACAATGTTGAAATTTCTGTTTGGTGACGTGAGTGTTGCAGAAACGACTACCGGTATGCATTTACCTTGTTATACATGTTTTTTTTTTATGTCAAACTTAAGATACTGTGTGAAACTATGAACGGAGAAAAGCACTTTTTTTTTTCAAGGATTAAGCCATGTCTGGAAAAGAGCCACCCTGTCTAAATTTGGGTGAAGAGCATCGTGTCGATTAAGAAAAACTGAGACGGTCTTACGGTCAGAACAGACATGGACACACCCAGACTCACCTCCCACTGTAGGTGTGGTGGAATGTTTCTGATCTGGAGTTTTCTGGTCCTGCAAAGAAAGAAATGAAGAGAAAACGAGGTTTAGAAAAGGTTCCCCCCTCGCAAACTTTGCTAGATGAAACAAGTGCCATCAATATATCCAATACAAATTGTCAGAAGCGGTCGCAGCCGCAGACATTTTCAACAAAAACTGCTCTCAAGTTTACACCCACAATCACATTAAAACTAATTACACTAATGACATCTGGTGATTCAAAGTCATCCAAATTCTGATTTACGCTGGCGACCACCGTTCAGAAAGGTCCCGGTCTTGTCTACATCTAAATGATGTGGCAAGAGAAAGCATGGAAAGGTGAAAGTCAAAGTCAGAACAGGGATAAATCCATCTGAACAGCAACTTCCATCATAAAGGGTACTTAATTTTAGCTCTGACATTAACACTTTTATTCTTTCACATGCCACAAGAGTGAGCAGATATAAATCAAGTACTTTTTTTAACATTGCAAATTTTGTGCTTAAAAAAGTGTTTTCATTTGAAGGCCTTCAATGGAAGAAAAGGAAATTCTCGTTTAAAACATTAGCATCATCTCAAAACCAAGGGCAGAACATGTAAGGTCAATGAAAATATCTCAAAGTGATCTGATTCGGGAATCTCTTATTATTTATAGTTGGGAACATAAAAAATGCTTGGGAGGCATCTGTCCTGCTCGGCGTTTGTGGAAATGAGGCTGAATGAGCATAGAAAAGAGAGAGAGAAGAGACTGAATGTGTATATGGAAACTAGACACTGATGTAGTTCAATGACAGCTGCCCCTGAAGCTTCCAAAATCATTGGTCGAGAAAGAGAGTGAGAGAAAAAGAAGAGCAAGTAACTAAAGCAATGTCAAAGCAATGAATGCAAATGCAATGAATAAAATGAGGGATAAAAAAAGGAAAAAGTGATCAACTATAAAGTCCAATTGAGAACTGCAGCACAGCACTGCTCCACCATAACAATGGCACAATTAAGAGGAGACTGTTATCCAGTTAACCTACACATACCGGAGCACTCTGGAACCTCTAGGGGGCGTAGCAGCAACCTTCTGATGCAATGTATGCGTTTAGGATGAAGGAGGGAAATGAGTGTCAGGGGTGGGTTATTTGGGAGGGGCCTGAAACTCTGTTCTGGTGACTGAGACCGGAACCCTAAAGACCTCTGAACTCTGCAAGGTTGACGTCCAATGGTTGACAAGCAAAGAAAATGGCGCTGTTTGCACTTTCTACCTCCCTTCATGCAAATGGCGGGCAAAACAGCCAATCAAGGGAAAAAGAATCCTGCGAGGGTGTTTCACACCACAGAGACCAGCAATGTGAGCGTGGCCAGGCCACACGAAACCAAATTAAATCGTGTATTTTCCAATTTGTTAAAAAATAAATAAATAAATAAATAAATAAATAAAAGCCATTCCTTGGAGCATGTGCTTAAGGTATTAGATAATGTACTTTCTTCTTTTGTTGTCTTCCAATATCATTCACAGTTCAAGATGAAAGCAACAAGCCTTCCAGTGTGTTTCAAGTAAATTAAGAGCAGAAAAGCACCTAAAGATACAACAAATTTTAACAAAAGGCAAAGGCCACACAAACACCACCAATCTGTTCGCTCTCCCACTGATCAATCACCTCGTTCCCGAACCCATCCCCCAAACCGATGCTTCCGCATCCCACCCACAGTCACCACATACCCGCAACAGACTTTTGCATCCCCACCCCCACTGCTGAAAAACATCCTTCTTGTTTGACACCTTTGAATCCATTTAAACCCATCATGTCACATCCCACCAAGTCTCTGACCAATCTGATCAATCTGTATGGTCAACGGAATGGAAATCACGGCCACATGAAAGAGGCGAAGAGGACTGACAACCCTTTCAGTCTCTTTTCCATTGTTTAGAGACCAAAACATTTCTGAATTGACCTGTAGTGCTTCAGGCCTCACGGCCAGCCACGGAGCAGTGGATGATGGGACACTAACCACAAATCTGTTAACATGCTCAAATTCTCCAGAAAGAGTTGCATGGGATTTTTCTTTATTTTATGGCGTGGCAAATAAAAGCTATGTTTAGATTTGGCTTAAGTTAAAACAGGAATCTCAACACGCATTGAAACAGAAATTTCAAACTCACACAGCACTACAAAGACGATCAAAATGCGAATAAAAAGACCAATAACAAGAACAAGGATAGAAAAGAATGGAAGAAAAAAAAGAGAGAGATTCACCCCCTACAAGGGTCAAAGGTGAGGGCACAGTATGCAAGCGATTAGCATTAGGGGGAGTGTGTGTGTGTGTAAGGGTTGGTATGTGTTATTGTCCTATAGGAGAGCGTCAGCAGTGCAAATACGAAGTTTACAAAAAGTATAGACATGTCTATGGCTAGCAGAAGAAGATCGATGGATGTCCATGGCTTGAGATAATATTCTAATCGAATATGGGGGGGAGAAAAAGTGGCAAAAATTTCAGTCACGTGACCTTTCTCAACTAAGCATTGAGAGAGGTCACATGTAACCAAAACGTATATGCTACATATTCATTAAAGCAGTGTTTTATCTTGCAAATGGTTTCCCTCCATTGTTAGTGTGCAGCCTTTTTTGAAGCATTTCCCTAATTAGACTCATTTGGACAATTAAGGTAAGGTGAGTTTCTGGCTTTTCTTGAGACAAGATTCACCAGAGACTATAGCAGAAGTTTAATCAATAATCATATATTATTATTATTATTATCATCATCATCATTTTAAAAAAAATCCACAATTGTTTGGTCTTTCAGTAAAGAGATCTTAAATTCATACTAGCTGGAGCATCTAGCAAAACTCTTTCCGTTCCACACACACACACACGGTAGCACATGAAAAAAAAAAAACTTAAAGGGGAAAGAACTATACGTCTTGACACAGTTAAGCACATTCAGTTCCTCCATACCACACAAACACATTTACTTCACTTTCTAAATGAGGCCATACCATGCACTTCTATTCTAAAGTTTGGGATCAGTAAGACTTTTTCAGAAATTAATACTTTTATTCACCAAAGATGCATTAAATTGATCAAAAGTGATATATATATATATTTATTTGAAAATATTAATTTAAAATAAAAGCTGTTCTCTTGAACTTTCTATTCAAAGAGTCTTGAAAAATAATAATTCCGTAGAAAAAAAAAGATTCCATAAAAATACTATTAAAAAAAAGCAGCACAACTGTTTTCAACATTAATAATAATAGGTAAATGTTTAAGTATCCAATCAGCATATTAGAAAGATTTATGCGACACTGAAAACTGGAGTAATGATGCTGAAAATTTTACTAACAAAGAAAAGTTACTTTAAATTGTTTGTTTTGTTTTTTTTTTCAAATAAATGCAGCCTTGATGAACATTAGAGACTTTTTTTAAAACATTTAAAAATCTGAAAATCCCAAATGTTTGAATGGTAGTGAAAATAATTTATATTCGATTATAGCTATAATATTAAAAAATAATTGTACATTTAAATATTAGAGCTGCATATTGTATTATAAATGTATATAAATGTAATTTCATAATTGCTCATTTAAAAATATACAAGTTTAGTCTAATTTTCACATCAATTATTTGTATATATATAGACATATACATTATACTAACTGATGTGGATTTTTTGTGTGTTTGTTAAGCTAACAACTATAGCCAAGTAAACCCCCACACATATAAAGCAGGTGCACCTCCACCACCACCCTCTTCACAAAACATTAATAAGACCTCCAGCATATCCAGATGCATAATGGACCAGTCTCTCAGTTGGCTTGGAGGAATCAGCAGGGCCATCTTCATCAGATGGAGACACATCTTATCTTGGATTCAAAAACACACTCCCAGAGTCCGAATCCCTGGAATATCATACACACACACACTAAACTCACCTGCCTGCTGACACTCTTTTACATCCACCTTAGGATTAGTTTGTCTTATTTGATAAATCAACAAAATGTATAACATATTTTACTGTGGTATCCAAAACTTTTACATACCACGTTAAAATTTGTTAGCCTATACATTTTTATACATAAAAATCATGAAGCGATAAGTGTGTACATATACAAAACACACTCACAACACTCAACATTTAAAACAAACAACACTAAAGTGCAGAGAACAAATGTTTCGCTGACATTAAACACGCAGGCAGACTCCTACACTGTAAGCACTACACAGGTGCGTGTGAAAAGCGCTACAATCCACCAAACCACTTTTGATGAGCATAGGCCTGTCAAAGAAGAAGACCCAAATCTGGAAGACAAATGCATGTTGTCGAGGATAATAAACATGCTTCCCAAAACATTGCACTCCATTTAGTCTCAACAGATATGTTGCTTTTAAAAAACTGAATTGTGTCTGCTCTACAAACCTTACCATGCAATCATCTCAAAAGCTTTAGACACTAGGAATCTTTTTCTGTCAACTGTGTGTGAGGGATTTTTTAAACAGAGGAACACTAGTTTGAGGAAGGAGCTTGGAGACATTGAAGACATGCACAACAAGGGTTTAAACTAAATACAGCGATGTACATTTTTTTTAAACTAACAACTTTGGAGATTTAATAGAGACAAAAACATGAGGTTGAATTGTAGTTTACAATATTCACATACTTGTAAATTTAGGTCAATTTATCCATATCAAAGTGCAAGAACAGAATTGACATTTAATTATTGCACTCAAGGCTACAAAAATGTAGTGATCTAACAGAAATTAATAAACCAATTCCAGACCCACTCTATGAGAGGTCCAACAGGAAACCAAGCACACAGGAAGTCAAAAAAAAAAAAAAAAAAAAAAAAAAAAAAAAACACCCCTTAGAAGTCAAAAGCCTCTTTGAGCTTTCAGCCATTTCCACCTCAGCCAATCAGATGTGAAGTTGATAGAAAACAAACGGGAGAAGATAAGCAGAGACAGAAAGAAAGAGACAAAAAAGAAAGAAAGAAACAATATGCACATAGAAACTTAATCACTCACATTCTTAACCCCTCCTCCATCATTCAT